CTTTCATGTTTTTCAGGGCACTTGAAATAAAAAGTTCAGTGCCAATTTTTTTGAAGAATATAATCTGTATTCACCAGATATTATTTAGGTAATCTACAGAAATAAGAACATGTAAATAGTGTACATGTCATAGCTGTTTTTTAAAAAACAAGGTATCTTTTCCCTTGGTCATCACATACAAAGTTGTTGGATATAATTTGGCATAAACAGTATGTCATCTTGATGTTAAAATTGCTCCTTCTGTGAAAGTAGGCATTCTTTTTAGTGAGCTTGTTAAACTTGCAATAATCTCAGAAAACAAACCAACTGGGCAGCAATATAAAACACAAACTTCCTTTTTTGTCTCAATTAATTTACACCTTCAGCATAATTGTGTAGTTTTCTTTTAGTCTACATTACTTATTCTTTCTTGTGTCATTTCAAATGACTTTTCAATATTCAACTGACTCATAGTATATTTGTATCTCAATTAGTATCATCACTGTGAAGCACTATTTCCTACTGAAAATAGGAAAGCAATGTGTCTATATTTAAAACAATTCAAACATAAGATCAGTTTAACCTGAAATATGAAAAGATTAAGCTGCACAATGCAAATAAACCTCCCCTTCATCATTTTAAACTCAGATGTAAACTTTGCCTGAAGTTGCAAGAAAAAGATGATCTTCAGAACTTTTTAAAAAAATGACACAAGAATAAATTTTTCATTTAAACTCATCATAAATGAACATGATTAAAATTCATAATCCCTGTTACTTAAGTGAAAGAAGATGTGCACTTAACTTGGCTAGTTAATTCTAAATGGTTTATTTTGCATAATTTCTCATACATAGGTAATAAATAATAAACGGTGTTTAAGGTATCACAAGTCATTTGTTGGAGGTTTTCTGCAAATTTTTTTTAGCACAGATAACTTTTAAAAAAACTTTACATTAAAACAACAAAAAATCAAGTTGTAGATTTAAAGGTGGAAAGAAATCCTAAGAACTGACTCTGAGTAATAAAACTACATATAAAAGCTAGGACAAGAGCAAATCTGTCATTTTGTACTCCTAAACTATCTCCTTTGAGGTTTTTAAAAACCACACTGTAAGACTTGACAATCTTCACAAATCACTAGACTATGGTGAGTTTGCCCAGCTTATAGTAATCATTAGTTTCAAATTATTTACAGTTAGTTTTTGAATTTCATAAAAAGATGCAATTATTTTTCAGTTAATGTTTTCAAAACTCATTTGCCCATGTTCATTTTTAAAGAAATTTGTAAACTAAAACATCCATTTGAAGAAAAACTGTTGATTGTCAGGATCCATCCAGACTATGTCCCATATGGGTCTTACATATTCTATAAATCATATATTGATATAAAGCCATTTACCTGGTCTGCTGAACTTTAACAAGCACTAATTTTTGTTCGCCTACACTATTTCTAGAATATCTGCAGAAGGTGGTCTTGACATCACGGAAGTCCTTGTATCTTCCAAATAGTTCTCTGAAACTATGTTTATGTTCTGTTCTAGAGGAGTAACTTAATTTATCAAGAATATCAAACTCTTCAACTTAGAAAGTAAACTCTTACATTCTTAAAAATCCTATGTGTACTGTCCACAGCATGCATCCTATTGAACTTAACAAGCCTAGCATCTGTGAAATGTGTAAGAGCATTTTTCATTAAACAAAATCTGAGCCCATCTGTACAATACAATCATAGAACTATGGAGTTAATGTGGTTCAACCCTCCCTAATGTGGTGGAAAACCAATTAGACTATCCATAAGAGTGGTTCATCCAGGGATGAAGAACCCACAACACCATCAGTAAACTACTCCTTTCTTCCTGGCAGGGTCCACTTTTTTCAGATCAGCTGAGTGCTGATCAATCAACTGAGAAAGGAACCGACAGACCAGCTTGTCACCTGAGGCAGACATAGAGTACTGGAGGGACTGACCCAAAATCACCCAGACAGCTTTCACACCTAAGGCGGAACCAGAACTCACAGCTGTCTGATTTCTAGCCTAGTGCCTTAACCACTAGACTAAATTGGCTCTCCAAAGTAACTATTCCACATTTATACTATTTCACCATCAGAAAGCTTTTTCCTTATATTAAAATAAAGCTAAGTATCTACAATTTATGCCCATTACTTCTGAATCTAGTTTCTGTGGGAACGAAAATTAATTCATGACCAGCTTCTATATGGTACCTTTCTATGTACCTGAACAAAACTGAAGAATGGCTATATCATTTAAGCAACTAAGAAGATTATATAGCATCGATGATAGCTGCTCTAAGATTGGATTTTTCTCCTCAAGAGATTGGATAAATCAATCTTCTACATGAATACTTCTTAATATAATTTCATTTCTTAGCAGAATTTAAAATGATACATTATATTTTCTTCTGTTACTTTCACATATTATATAAAGTCCGAACTCCTAGGAACAGGGCAACAAATGAAATAAAACAATCATTTCTAGTAGAACCACTGGCTTAACCAATTCAATACAAGCAGGCTGCTGAAAATACTCAGTAATGTACATATTTGACCTCCAATAACATGCAATGCCCCTTTTCTACTTGTTAACTTCATTCTTTACTACTGTTGCCATCTCTCCCCAAACAAAGCTCCTCTGTTTTAACAGCTGTAGGCAGAGATTCAGTAAGTGTAATTTTCCCCATTACTGCATTTCCTCACCAGAAAAAGCAGTATTTTAAAAATGCTACAAAACCTCTATAATTCAAGGTAACAACTGCTTGCACCACGTTATCTGAAATAGAAAAAAAAATCACTCATTTTACATTTACATATTGTGTGTGTGTGTGTATATATATGTATGTGTGTGTGTGTGTGTGTATATGTATGTATGTATGTATGTATGTATGTATGTATATGTATATATATATACACACACAATTATCACCATCTACCACCTAATCAATAGGCTGTACAATTTCCTGAGATGCATTCAATATTCTATTCTTTCAGCTATGCCAGGCAAATTAAGCCCCAACAGAATCTATTTTAAAAACCAAGGGATTTTTTTTTCCTCTCTAGATTCTGATTGGTGGAATTTTCAGGAAGTACCTTCAGTTTCCATGGTAAAAAGTGGAAGGTAAACATGCCTGCAATATAAGGCTAAGATGCCTAAGCCACTTTAAAAAGGATATATGCTCTTGGGGGTATACTGGCTTAAGTGCATATCTGTGCAAAGTAGCTTCTCTTACTCCTGGTTTAGTGCTATATAAACACTGCACTCAAAGCAGGAAATCAGCTATGCTGAACCACAGGGAATAGGATGCACTACAACACCTCATGCATATATACCCCAAATGGGAATCAAGTAGGAACATACTTGAATCAATTTGCAGAACACCTAATTAGTGTTAACCTTTTAATTTTTCATTAGACAAGACCTCTTCTTAAAAGGCCATTGGACTGGACGATCATAACAAACATGCTCTTTTTCCTAGAACCTCTTATGGGAGGTTATTACATGACCTAAAGATACTTAGCAAACAAAATTAAACATTTTCATTTTTTAAAAAAAATATAACCAATTTATTTATTTCAAAAGGAGAGGAAGATTGGTGCAGTTTAAAGCAACAATGGCTCAGCATCTCATTCAGGAACTGTGTATTGTACAGAAACTGTATATTGTAGTTATCTGAAAGCACACATCCATCATTTTTTTCAGGAAAAGAAATACAGAGCTCTTGATCACTGCATACTTTAAAAAAACCTTCATTATAATAAAAGAAAATTTAGAACTCAGTTACTCAACACACCTCTACTCAAATTATACAAAAATGTTCAGAAAACCAATTATTCACTCAGAAGCCAAATAAAGCCCATTTTAACTAGCACAAATCCATTGGATAAGCATGGAAGAAAGTGGAATGAGTGGAATTCAAAATCTCTACATGGAATAAGGCAGAGATATCCTCCTATGTTTCTAAACGATGCAAAGAAAGGACCAAGAAAATGTCATTGGACATTTTGGTTATAATCCTCATCTAGGGCCAAACTATAGGGACCATAAACACATTGCTTCCCATTTCTTCTAGTTTTCAGTAAAGGAATGAATAGGCATAGGCGGCCTACTCTGGATAATAGCATTGACACTCAACGCTATATGCCCTAAGATGGAAGTGCTTTTTGGCATCAATGGAAACTCCCATCCTGGGGATAATAACTGTGAGACTGTGATTTTCACTTGTAATAAAGGAATAAAGATTTAAAATCAACTTCTGAGTGTACTATGGTCCTAATCCTTGACCATTATCTCCATTCTACTATGTCATTTTCAAACATACACTGCAAATGACATTTGCATGCAATAATACAATTTAGATCTTACTTCTTCCAAAACCACAAACATTTAAAACACTTTCCAAACAAAAGACCACTATTATATTTTCAACAAGCTATAAACCTTGTTTATTCTGGTTGAAATTTCTGGTTCATTTGAATTTTATCCCCATTTTTTTTTCTATATTACAAAAAGTTATCCTTATGAAAATTTATCTTTATTTTCATTCTAATTACTTTCATTTTATCAAAACATTTCATTTTACCTGGTGACCTTTACAAAGAACTCCATAAATTAGTCAGTACATTTATCCTTAGTCGTCATTATGGGAGGGTTAGTTGCAAAATTTTCAAATGCTAGCATTTATTACATTTGTATCCACCTTTCCTTCAAAAAGTTTCATGTTCTTTTTTTTTTATTTCCCCTATTTTTATGCCTATAAAGTAAGCTTAAACGGAAAGAAAATGATGAAATCAGGATCACCCAATGAGCTTGAAAGCTGGGTAGGGATTTGAACCTGGATCTCCTCTATCCAACATTTTAATCAGTATAGCGCACCTTAAACTGGAGTTCTAGTACTCCAAATAAGACAAATTATTTCTTAGACCTAAGCTCCAAACCACAAACACAGCTTCAAAGGGGAGTAGGAAGTGTTGACTGCATTTCAAAGATGAGTGTAAAAGTTTCTTACCATGCTCTTGCTTACCCATTGCACTTAGATAATGATTGATAGCTTGACACGGAGGACTTGGAGTCTGTGTTGCTTTGTCACAATTCATAGGTGCAGGACTCCTGTCGATGTCAAAAGAGAAATACCCACTGGAGGATCTGGAGAGCAGTGGGGATCTTCTTACAAACATGAACAACGGGGATCTGGTAGCAAATGGACTGGGACTGGAGGGTGGTGCCAGTGGTCCCTGAGGGCTACCGGGTGATGAACTGTCCCGTTCACCCAAATGATTACCTTGATATTCAGTTTGTAAGGAGGTAGGGGCCCCAGGCCGAAGGTGATGAGGCTGAGCTGGCCTTTCAGCAGGCTGCAATTGTCCACCTTCTCTCTCACATTCAGAATTTAAATCAGAAGATTGTTTTGCCATTTGGTCTTTCTTTTTCCCCAACCCTGGAAGAAGGAAATAAAAAAAAAGGGGGGGGGAGAAGAGAAAAACATCTCAAATTACACAAAGTTCATTCAAACTTGATAACAGTGATGATGACTTGCAATAGATAGAAATCACTATCAACATATTAGCAATGCAAATTCCATGACATTTTACATTCACCACAGGATTTCAAATCTATTAATTAACCTTCCTTCCATGTCAAACTTGGAAAATAAAAGACTAGTAATGGATAAAGGTGTTTTGCTATATCCAATCCAGTATCTCTCAGGGGGTAAAAAGGCTTGTTGAAAAGAAAACAAAACAGTCACAAAAGTTTTCTAAGACAAAACCTGGGGGCCAACTAAGCAATATTCCAGGTCTGATCTTTGGAGAGGGAAGGGCAAAGGAGCCAACTGACTTTGTTTTGCCTTTTTTTTTTAAAAAAAAGGGGGTGATGGTGAAATATTTAAACTCAGGATCCGCACCCTCCAGCCCTCCAAGTTCTATACAGGAGGATCAGATACAGTGTTGAAATGTTAGAAGTAGATGCGGTGATTGTGCAGGACGGGGAAGTCGGCCAGGCTCTCGCTCCATTGTTCTATCGAATATGCTGATCACAGCAAGTCTGGAAGGTTTGGCAAGAGCAATCAGTTGTAAAAGTGCGTCACAATAGTTTGTACACTGCAAAGTGCTCCTCTGTTCACTCCACCTCCCCTCATCCTTCCACGGCTACGATCAAATCCTTCTCTATACTACACGCGGGGAAAAACGTCTCACTTGGCACCTTTAGAAAATCCACACTCTTTAAGTTCAGGGAGCGGCGAAATCGAGAGCAAAAAAAAGGCACGAGCGAGAAACGACAGGTCACCCCAGCCGCAAGGCAAGGGTCGCAGCCTGCCTGCCTGCCTCCCACCCACCCACCCCGCTCCAACTCACCTTTTATTTACTTTCGTTCAAACGCCCGTGTCCCGCGACTGGACTAGGCGCTCACGCAAACAACAACAACAACAACAACAGGTTGTAGAAAAGGCCGGCGCGAGCCAAGCATCCACCACCAAGTTGGGGAACCATCGCAAGCAGGGAACAAAAAAGGTGATGGTGCGGGGAGTGGGGGGGGGTGCGGGGGAAACAGCCCCGCGCCGAGACTTGGAAAGAAATCCAAGGCCAAGTCACCCCATCCGCCTCGGGAAAGCCCCTCCCTCGCTGCTGAACGACCCCGGGGGAGAGCTGCGGTCGGGGCCGCGAGAGACAGGTCGCTTCCCACCGAAAACCCAACAAAGGGAGCGCGAGTGCAAGGCAGGAGAATAACAGAGCCAGAAACAGACACGCAAAGGGGGAGGGGACAGCTAGAGGAGAGGGTGGAGACTCGGGAGCACACCAAGATACCCCCGGCCCCCAATCCCGCCCCCTGCGCCCCCCTCCCCTCCCCTCCCTCCCTCCCGCCGGCCGTACTTACGCGTCAGGGTTTCTGAATCATCACACAGGCAAGCCGGACTCTTCCCCGGGCGCCGAGGGCGGCTGGTGAGCAACACGCTCGCGCGCCTTTCGGAGATTGCTGGCGTCTGGCCGCGCGGACCGAACAGCAGCCAACCGAGCGACAGCAAGATCCCCGCGCTCTGCCTCTCCGGGGGAAAGGGAGAGAAAGCCCTCCCCGTCGCCAATAAAAAATAAGGCAGCAGGGCCAATCCGGGCGCGTTAGAGGCGGCCCGGCTCCGCCCACAGCGCGAGGGCACTGTTTACATTTATATGCTTGTTTGGGGGGGGGGGGGCGGAGGGAAGGCACACATACACACACGCGCGGCCTGCCACAACCCCTGCGCTGCGCCGCGGCCCGCCCTGCTCCTTCCCTCCTTATGTCCTCAGGAGCTTCCTGAAGCCGCCGCGGTGACGACGGCAGCCGTGATCGAGAAAGGCTGCTGACTTGCAGTAGCCACGCTGGGCTCTGCTTCGCGTTCTCTATGGACGCCCACCTTCCACTTCTCTTCTTAAAACGTGCCAGCAACAACGGGGAAGAATCCGAGAGGCTGACAACTAGCAAACCGTTTCCGTAGAGAAAACCGTTTTCGCTTAACAAAAGCAGAGATGCAGCCGCACCCCGCGGTATTTGTTACCCCCCTCCCAACAAGCTTCATAAAAAAATAAAATAAACCACTAGACTCCACCTCTTCCCTGGTTTAGAAGCTTCACACCCCAAGATGATTCATTCTGTCCAGGGAGAGAATTCTAGCCTTGTGGAAGAGTAGACATGACCAATGAACATGATTTGTATTTAGATGACTATCACCTAAACACTGGGAAGAGCTTGTCACAATAAAAGCACAATGCAAAATAGTCAGGACCAAAGGCATCAGAGGCCAAAAATATAATCATCTGGATAATGAAGTGCAGACTTTGAAATGAACTACAAATCATGCTTGAGGGTTGAAGCAGGAGGAGTTCAACAGAGAGGTTGAGCAGCAATGATGATGCCATCACCAAATAGGCCCCTCATCTTCCTGGCATCAGCTAAACACAGCACCAGAGCTTTTGTCCCCTCCACATTTCTCAATACCACGATCTTTATTGCAGAATATATCGAAAAAAATTCCAATCTAGGTCTGATTTTTAAGGCATTACATATTAGCATCAGTATTTTGAGGTAGGTTCCAAAATAGAGAGGCAAATCACTGAGAATGTGATTTTGACCATGCAGTACCAAACTATAACCAGGCTGAAGCCTCCAAAACATTGGGGTGAGCAAAGCGGAACTGAGTATGTACCAGTATGTATTTATCAAATTTCTACGCTGCCCGACTCCCAATGACTCTGGGAGGCTTACAGCAACCAAGACAAGAAAATTACAATAAAGCCAATTAAAAAGAAGATGAGGGAAAGATAAAGGATAGCAAGAACAGACTGAACAGAAACAAAGCAAAGTCTCACTCTCCCTTGCCAAAGGCCTGGGTGAAAAAAGGATCTTCACAATCCTTCTAAACACCAGAAGAGTGGAAGCTATCTGGATCTCAGGGTAGCCTCATTTCACATGGTAGGCATTACTACAAACAAGTCCTTATTAGATGACACTGCTTAATCAAAGGAAATTGAAGCATGCCAATCCTACTCAACTGAATTGGCCAGCAGTATGATGGGAGACAGTGGTCCTCAAATAACCAGGCCCTGTGCCATGTAGGACTTTAAAGATTATGACCAGCATCTTGAATCACACTCAGAAACAAACTGACAATAAATATGGGTCACAAAACGGGGGTGTTATAGGCATATCAATGTGCTGCTGTGATCTGGACCAGTTGGAGCCTCTGAATGTTTTTCAAAGCAGCCCTATGCAGAATGCATTGCAGTAATCAAGCCATGAGGTGATCAGAGCAAGAGTGACTGACTGAAAAGTCTCCAATCTAAGAAATGGCACAACTGATACATCACATTAAGTTGTATAATAAAGGCCTTCATAGCCACCTGCTCATTGAGCAGAAGATATGAGTCCAGGCCAACCCCCAGATTTTGCATTGTTTTTAAATGGGAAAATGCAACCTATTGTGCAAATGGAATAAACCCCAGATTTAGGTGATCCAAACACTTACAGACTCCTGGTCTTGGTAGGATTCAGTTGGAGACAGTACCTCCTCATCCAAAACTCACAGCCTCCAGGCCCTGGAACAGAACTGTGACAGCCTCATTTGGCCAGCCCATGGTTGAAAAATATAGTGAGGTATTATCAGTATACTGATGATTCCAAACCAACAGCTGAGCTCACTCAATGGTTTCATGAAAAAGGAGGAGAGAGAGAGAGTAAAATCCTGTGGCATTTTACCCACAAGGGGCTTAGGAAGTGATCTCATCCCTCAAACCAAGACCAACTGGAATTGGCTCCAGAGAAAGGAAGACAACCACACAGAACTGGTTCAAAAGGAAACTGTGGTCAATAGTATTGAAAGCCACTTAGAAGTCAAAGAGCACAAGGATGGATGTACCACCTCCATCCTATCTCTGCCACAGGTTATAAACAAGTTCAACCAAGGTTGTCTCAGTAATAACTCCTGATCTGAAACCAAATTGAAATAGGTTTAGATTATCCATTTCCTCCAAGGTTCTCTTCAGCTGCACTCAGACTACCTTCTCAATAAGTGCCCTCCCCAGGTGAAAAGTTGTAGACTGGTCATATGTTCAAAATTTGTTAGAAAGTTGTCAGATGACCTCTTGAGGAGGGGTCATACACTGCTGCTTTCAAGGCATGAGGTATCACTCCCCTCAACAAAAAGGGCAATACCATAGAATGGATCCAATGGCAGGTCATCTTCCTGGCCATCTTTGTGACCCAGAGAGGTCTGGATTTAGTAAGCAGGTAGCCAAGCTGACAGCACAGAGAACCTTATCCACTTCCTCAATAGTCAGCAGTTCAAACTCATCAGAGATCATACTTCCAGATTGTGCCCTATGCACCTCAACCTGCCCAGCCCAGTCAGTGTCCAGTTGAAGTGAATTTCGTGTTATTTACTAGAAAGCCTGAATAATCCTCAGAGCAGCCCACAGTTATTTTCTAAGAGGCCCTCCCTACCCAGCATGGTCCAGGTCACCTTAAACCAGGCTGCTGGATAGCAATAAATTCTTTCTTGCTCTTTCTGGGACACTGCAGATCATCCAGAGCAGGGTATGTTCTCACCTGTGAGGCTGGGAATGTCTCATCATTAGTACCTCCACATGCTTTCTGGATCCCTGCTCTGCTTTATCCGATTCACAGAGAATGTAAAAATGGTCATCAGAATATTGATGGTATTGTGGCCTAAATCTTTGAATGACTTTTTCAACAGACAATATGCAACTTAAATGCCACAAGCTGAGCAACAGTGTTCTGCTGCTATTTTGGAAGTTGCCTGACAGAAAAGACTGTAATCCCTTTATTACAGTGCTACAAATTCTCACTTGAGTCACTCCTGGAAGATACTAGAGTTAATATTTTCAAAAATAACTGAGAACCAACAATCAAAAGGCCGCGCTCTTCCTTCCTCTTCCCAGCAGAAATCATCCAGCAAATTAGTTGAGATAGTTTTAAGTTAGATTGGAATGATCTAACCCAATCCAATTCTTTTCCCTCTCAATACGGTGCATCTGTCAGTTTTGCTGTTCTGTCTTAACATATTCTCTGAACCTCCCCAGCTCAATTCATCTTAATACATGACATTCTTACCAAGATTACATCACTCCATCGATCAGCAAACACTTCATCAAAAAAAGGGGGAGGGAGGAAAGCTGGATTCCTTGTCCTATATTACTTGTTTTTAGGTTCTCTATATGTGGAAATTTATAAATATTTTAATGTTGATTTACATTCTAAAATGTTTACCTTTATTTTTAATTATTCCCTGCTTTAATATTTTAACATTGTGTAAGTCATAACTTATATCAACTGTAAAAGTAAAATGACTTTTTGGCATTGGTGGCATTGATTATCCACCAGCAACTAGTATCAACAGCCATCTCATATCTCCAAACAAGATCTCAGCAATTAGCACATTGACTACACTACATGGTAGCTGGGTTCACATAACAAGTTAACATATAGTCAACTGAACAGTGGTTTACTGAGCTATATAATCCATTCGTTCATTCTTCTACTACAGCTAACACTGTCTTGTCCAGATTCAGCCATACAGTACTTCAGAAAGTGTCCTTTTCTCCCATCCTGTCCAATTTAAGCTCCTCAAAGACTTGTGTCATACCATGCCATCTTTCCTTCTTCCAATCCTTTTGCTTTTACCTCATCATCAGTCTTCCATTTCATTCTCACAACTAAGAGTACAAACTTCATTTCACAAAAATATTCCACCAAATTCCTCCAGCATGAACCCCACACTTTATATACTGTTTTCACAAAACAGAATCACAAAATCAAGCTGTGCCGATCCCACAATGTATTTAAAATTTACTTGATTCACACATTACACCAAACCCTTATATTGCTTTGCATGATAGATAACCCAAATAGTTCCAGAAGTGCTATTTCTCAATATAAGAAACTCAGGTTAAATAACACCCCCCCCCCCATTCAACTACAAGGTTGAATTGTAGTTCAACTTGAGGGTTGGCTTCAAATATTCTATCTCACACAGAGTCAATCCAATATATCTAGTTGGTTCACAAATAGGCCATGCAAGTGATAGTCCTCCTCAACTACTGCTTTCCAGCAATTGGAATATACAGGTAGAATCCTTCTTTTTCATGAATGTGCTTAATCCCTTCTTGAAATAATTTAAATTGGTGTCCATTATTACATCTTGTGTCACAGCAGATGGCAGCACCTAGACTAACTTGCTTGGTTCAAGTCAAAAAAGCTAAGCAAGGTCAAACTTGATTAATATTTGGATAGGAGACTATCACGAAAACACAAGGATGTAGACTGGGCTAAGAATTTAAAAAAACCTACAAGGAAATGGCAAATTATTTCTGCATTGTTACCGATAAAACTACAAGTTCATGTAACTGGAATAAAAAGGCTTCTCCTTTCCACCCCAACATTTCCACAGTGCTACACAAAGCAGCACACAGAAGATAAGGTAAACAACCCTCTCTCTCCCTCTGTGTCTCACACGCAATCTTTTGAAGAACGGTCTTTTCTCTCTACCCAACTTTATTTTTTTCCCCCGCTTTGAAGATCGTAGGGAAGTCCCGTACAGGGACAGCACACGTGCCGTTAAAGTTTAAACGAACTTAAATTTCTCCACCTCCCCCCCCACACCCCTTTACCAACAGAATCAATCCACCTACCAAATCGTTTTAACTTCCTCCCTTAAGAGAGATCTGGGATCATTCACCACATTCTGACCAAGGAGAAATGCCAGCGCCTCTCACTCAGCATCGATCCCGCGGGCGGCACTGCAAATTATTGTACGTTAGCAACATCTGGAGAGCTACAGTTCATCCGCAAAACTCCTGAAAGTCTCCCCCATCCGTTGCAATGTCACGCTTTTGAAAGGCCCCTGACCCTCCTCCGCTTCAGGCCGACTGCGCCTAGCAGGGAAGTCTCCACCGCGAGCCTCAGTAGCCGGCGAGAGGGAGGGAGGGAGGGAGGGAGGAAGAAAGGGACAGACCACCGCTGCTCGCCTCCAATCCCAATGTGGCCAATCCTTGCTTGGGATTTGGGACTGAGAGGAGGAGGAGGAGGAGGAGATGAAAGTGGGGGTGTGGGGTGTGGAGAGAGATCCTGGCTTCCAAGCTGCCGGGACTCCCAACTGCAGAGATTGCTTGGCTCTGTTCCCAGCCCTCGCCGCGCGCTCAAAACAACAACAGCAACAAAAAGCTGCGGTCGAGACTTGCCCGCCTGCCTGGCTCCCGGCCTCGGTAGCCAATCATTCAGCGAGCAGCCTCGTCCGTAGAGAGAGAGAGAGAAAAGAGGCGAGAGCGAGGGCGGATGAGCCGAGTCTGTGGCGGGGGAATAACAAGGGTTCGGGAGACGTTAGCGCGAAAGTTTCCGCCGAGGCGCTCCGGCTTTTGCCTTACCTCGCCTGGCCCCCCCATCACCACCGGTTCTTCGCGAGAAAAAAAGTGCTCCTTTTCAGGGGGCGCAGAGTTTCTCCCTCGCATGGTCGGGCTTTTGGTTTGGACAGCCGAAAAGCCTGGCCCGCTGCCTAATAAGCAGCAGTCACCCCCTTTCCCCCCCCCCACCCCAGTCAAGGTGCTCCTCTCACCTGAGGCAGGAATCTCACGAGCGCCTCCCCTTCCCGCGCAGGACAATGCAAGCGTAACGAGCTAAGTAATTAGTAAATTGTTGTCTCGTCGGGACAAGAAAAGCTCTTGCCCGAGGTGGTGCTTTCTATATGCCCTAACGGAAGGAGTGGCGTGTAAAAACGCACGTGCGGACACACACACACATACGCACGGACGCGGTGTAAGCATAGAGGTCTTTTTGCCATTGTCTAAGGAGGCGACTTGAGGACAACAGAATAACGCAGTTGGAAGGGACCTTGGAGGTCTTCTAGCTCAACCCCCTGCTCCAACAGCCCCTACACCATTTCAACACAATCTCTTCTTGAGGAAGGATCTTCTTAAGTAAGGATGACAACTGTGAGCAAATAAGTGCAAATACTGCCTGCCTTTGGGTCCTTCTTATTTCTCCAATTCTCTAGAATTATGAATTTAAATTCATGCAGGATGTCTGAGTAAACTGAAGAGCACAAACCGAAAATGCTAAAAATGAACTTGTGTACAGATATGTACATTTTAAAGGAAGTTAAAAACTGGTTTTGTAGTGTTGTAATATAAAAAATATTCTCATAGTAATTTGATGTGCGCACATATTTTTGTTTTGCTGTTATCAAGTAGTTACAGGTAGTCCTCAATTTACGATCATAATTGAGCCCAAAATTTCTACTGCTAAGCAACCCAGTTAAGTGAGTTGTGCCTCATTTTATGATCATTTTTGCCACAGTTGTTAAGTCAATCATGCAGTTGTTAAGTGCCACAGATGGAACAGCTTGCCTTCGGAAGTTGTGGGAGGTTCATCATGAGACTTTCAAGAAGAGATCGGACTGTCATTTGTCAGAAATGGCGTAGGGTCTCCTGCCTGGATGAGGGTTTTTTTTTTTTTTAATTTGATTCATATGCCGCCCTTCTCTGGAGACTCAGGGCGGCTTACAATGTGCTAAGCAATAGCCTTCATCCTTTTGTATATTTATACAAAGTCAGCTTATTGCCCCCACAACTGGGTCCTCAATTTACCTACCTTAGAAAGGATGGAAGGACTAGATGACCTACAAGATCCCTTCCAACTCTGTTAATCTGTTAAAAATCAAACTTTTCAAACTTGTTTCTCAGAGGAAAATGTAAGATTAAAAAAACATGGATATTTCAGGCAACATTATTAGAAATCTATAATGATTCCATATAGATAGAGCCTAATGCTATTAAAGAAAAAGGTTCTCTTAGATCTATTTCATCACTTCCCCACTACTGTCCCTCTCTAATTGCCAAGAATGCCTATATTGAGAAACTAAGAATGAATACAATAGGTTGTATAGTATTAGCCTTGAATATTGGTAGAAATAGGTTCAAAACTAGTTCAGTGTCAGTGAACCTCATTTCCAGCTTGAAGGTAATATAATTCAGGTTGTTAAACATTAGAAGCTCAGTATACCTTGTGAGCAATCCACTTTCTCATTGAAAGGAACTTTCGTTCCCAATTGCTCTGGGAAGTTTTTTTAAGGTGATGTAACAGGTAAAATCAGTCTATTTCTCTCTTTCATTCCCCAGTACTGGTAGCTTGGAGTGAGTAGTCCGGTTTGAAAAACCCCTAGTTTGGTATTGTAAAGTATCTGATAAATTGACCCTATGCTAAAAGAAGGGAATTCAATTTTTATCTCCAGAATAGGGATAGAATCTTAATTATTGAATTAATCTCTTCAAGAACAATGATCTTATCTTTAAATCCCTTTGTGGCTTGGAACTGGGGTATCTGAGGGATTGCCTTTTTCCAAGAGTCTCTAACCATACAACCCAATCTAGCAGAATGGGCATACTGCAGATCCCACCAGCCAGAAAGTGTCGGCTGGCAGGGACTACAAGATGGGCTTTTTCCATAGTGGGCCCTATTCAAAGGACATCCTTCCTTTGAGATTAGAATGGCCCTAATCCTGTTAGCATTTCTTAAGGACCTAAAAGCTTGACTATGTTCCCAAGCCTGAGATGCTGAATGTGTTAAGGGCCCCATTTCCTGGCTTTATTGCTAACTGGCTGAGTTTTTCAGCTGTTATGTATATTTATTTTGGATATTTCAAAATGTTTTTAGCATTTTAATTGTAATATATTTTTGACTTACAAGCCACCCACAGTCACTGACTGAGGTGTGTGGCCACAGAAATGGAATAAATAAATACATAAATTAGCCTTTCTGGGAGGCTTCTTACGAAGGTATTCAAAGTTTTATTTTTCACAGATTCAGATAACAGATTAACAGAGTTGGAAGGGACCTTATAGGGCATCTAGTCCAACCCCCCATCAAGCAGGAGACCCTAGACCATTTCTGACAAATGGCAGTCCAATCTTTTCTTGAAAGTCTCAAGTGATGAAGCTCCCACAACTTCCGAAGGCAAGCTGTTCCATTGGTTGATTGTTCTCACTGTCAGAAAGTTCCTCCTCATTTCTAGGCTGAATCCCTCCTTGGTCAGTTTCCATCCATTATTCCTTATCTGGCCTTCAGGTGCTTTGGAAAACAGCTTGACCCCCTCCTCTCTGTGGCAGCCCCTTAAGTATTGGCTAGTCTCTTCACTAGACTAGCCATGCCCAGTTCCTGTAACCGTTCTTCATATGTTTTAGTCTCCAGTCCCCTAATCATCCTGGTTGCTCTCCTCTGCACTTTTTCTAGAGTCTCAACATCCTTTTTATATTGTGGTGACCAAAACTGGATGCAGTACTCTAGGTGTGGTCTTACTAGGGCTTTATAGAGTGGTATTAGTACCTCACTTGATCTTGATTGTATCCCTCTGTTAATGCAATTTAGGATTGCATTGGCTTTTTTGGCTGCCCTGCACACTGCTGGCTCATATTAGCTGATTGTCCACTAAGACTCCAAGATCCCTCTCACAGTCACTGCTATTAAGCCTGATTTCCCGCAGTTTATATGTGTGCTTTTTCTTTTTCTTACCTAAGTGTAAGACTTTACTTTTCTCTATTCAATTATTTCTTCATTATTTTAATAGTTAACTACAACAACAGTCTGCTATATAATCCAATTTTTAGTTTTTGAGTATCCTTCTAATCCAAAATGTTTTTCATCTTGAACAATATTTACTAAAGAATAGGTCTTATTCATTTTACGTCATTAAGGTGAGGGTGAGTGAAAAAAAATCATGCATATCTGAAATTAGGAATGAGTATAAAAGGGAACAAAAAAACACCCCTGCTACACCCAAATAATTCAATCCTACAGAGAAATGAGCACAATGAAAAAGTGGTAATCCCTTTCAAGCCACCTTCTTCTGGAATCTGCAAACACTCAATAACCGGGAGTTTGTTTGTTTTCTTTCTTTCTTTCTTTCTTTCTTTCTTTCTTTCTTTCTTTCTTTCTTTCTTTCTTTCTTTCTATCTATCTATCTATCTATCTATCTATCTATCTATCTATCTATCTGACTATCTGACTATCTGACTATCTATTTATCTATCTTATCTATCTCTATGTCAAATTTATGTACCTGCCCATCTCACAAAAAGCAATTCTGGGCAGCATACAACAATTGAATAAAAGAACGAACATAAAAAATATAAATCCACATTAAAAGACAAATATTATAAAAAATATACAAGCGTAGGCAAAGAGTGGATAAGAATGAGTACCTTAACAATGGGCTTGTCTAAGTATGTTTGTGGTTTCTTAGAGCCCTATGCCTGATAACAATCAGGTTTGAGGGACTTCCAGAATGTAAAAAGGGATAGAAGTAATTCAGTTTCTTGGAATAAGTTACAACTTATTAGTCAACATTTGTTTCTTGCAGTATAGCACTTACAATGAAATATATGGGGAATTGTTTGGTTTTAAGCTTCCTGTTGTCTAACATCACCACTCTTATTTCTCTCTTCTAGGGAACTTTCTATTCTATAAGCTATTAATACTTTAGCTTGAAACAAAGTAAGTATCTTGCCATACTATTTTCTCCAAAGTGTCTTGCAACTGTTTTTACTGAGGGTTATTCCGAAGTAATTGTCAACAAGATTGTAATTCTTATATAAAAGTGGAAACGGGTGCCAGAACAAAAAAGTAATTTTGATCAATGTTTTCTCTGCATCTTTCTTCTATAATTTGTAGATTCCATTCATACACAATGACCAACTAGTACCCATAGCACGATACTAGGGGTATGTGAATAGAGAACAATTTAATCTTATAAATGCCTAAACAACAGGGGTGAAATTCACTTACCTTCCCTACCGGTTCGCAAATGTGCGCGTGCCATGCATGCACAAAGCCTTCTTTGCATCCCAAAAAGCGACATCATTACATCCATGCGAGTGGGCAGAGCCTCCCGCAGCCGCCGCTACCAGTTTGCCTGAGCCAGATGGAACCAGCTGAATTTCACCCCTGCTAAACAAGAATAATCAGGAGGGAACTCCTTTTTAGTCTTTGTCATTATCAACTGGTTGCTGAGCGTCTGCAATTGGTCTGATGGAAGGTAAGAGTATGGTAACTGTACTCTTAGAACAGCAATGTTCTTTGTAAACAAACCAAGGACTAGAAAGATAAAGTTTAAAACTCCAGGGCTATCTCTTATCCAATGGAAGTGAAATTAGAATAGGGCTAAGCTAATAATGTTATTGACAAAATATTAATTAGGGCTGGATGTGGCTTCTTCAGAAGCTACTTTCAGCTCTGTGCATACCAAAAGAGGTCCCGAAGCAGCTGTGTGAGCTTTGCAAAAAACATGGGTTCTTTAAGGACTACAACACCTTGTCTATGCCCTCATATGTTGCCATTCAAAACACCTACTTTGAATGTTGAACTAATATATTATTCTTATGCTATAATAATACTTGAATAAGTATTTATTCAACATTTTTACTATGTTGAATTAATTTAATTACTTCATTTTATTTCTGATGATTTAGAAAATATATATTGAATATTTTTCTCAGAGTTTGAATTATGAAGCCTGGGGCAAGTGCTGGCTAATATCTGTGAGAATAAAAATAGTCAGCTTCCTCTGTTAAGATGTTCAGTATCTGGCTGGGATGAGGCTCTATAGATCCATTTGTGTGTGTGTGTGTTTTTTCTTTTCAAGTCCTGCCATGAGAGAGAGGGCTTACATGGCTCAAAAGAGCAATGACTCACCAGTTCTCCTCCTGGTTCCCATGAAGTCAAAAGTCACTTCTGGTGTTAATATTGACAACTGAAAAGAGAAAAGGGCCAGTGAACAAAGCTCGCGTGACTGCAATGGATTCTAGGTACACTGAGAAAATTCACACAGAGATAGCTATACTGCATCCTGCTTTGTCTTTTCTACTCCCAAGAGAGTTGGGCATTTACTACCCAAGAGAGTTGGGGCCCAAATATCAAGACACAAACTCTGCTCCATTTGCAGCTTTACTCTGGGGATAACATCTTTGGGATAACATCAGTGTTCTAAACCTTTTATTTTTCCTAGAGATTGATCCTACAGATAGCAATTAGCATTGTCATTGGCAATGCAACAATAAGAGTGAAGCTGATTAACATAAAGACTAAAGAAAGGGACTGGACTGATTTATTTGCAAAAATAAGCTGCACTGACTTCTGTCTTATTTACAGAAAAGTATTTTATGAGTGCAGAATGCAAAAAGTATAGAAAACAGGCCACCTGCAGACCTTAGTCTTTCTTGTGGTAGCCTCAGAAACTCTCTAGAGTGCATTTTTGGTGATTTGAGGAGATTAATGGACAAAAGAAGTGGCTAAAGCTTTTAACATGTCACATAATACCTGCTATAGTTCTTGTGAAGACAGAAGTTGTGCACCCCTGATTTAAGAGTTGCTTCTTCTTACCAGTGAGTACAAATGAACAGATAAATTAGAATAGTCAGCTGAAGAGAAAAAAGACCTTGGCATAAAACACTGCATTAAATAACAACTGTTGGCTGAAAAGAATAGTATTGCACTTGCAGGCTTACCTCAAAGAGAGATTGAAGATGCAAATGTAAAAGATGGTAAAAGGGATGCAGCAAGGCTCTAGGCTCCACAAAAATGGGGACACATCCAAAGCATGATTTAGTATCTGGAATTATCGGCTTGCTGAAAACATTTCATTTAAAGCAGCATTTTTTAAAAATGCTAACAATGATATCAGCCTTGCTTGTCTCCTCCTCTCTGTACCTAATTTGCTAGGTTATTGATTTCAAGAGAGAAAAGGTATTGGGGGGGGGGGTTATATCGCTAAAAGATGCTGTGGGAAGTTTTGTGTCTCTTTGCTCCCATTTAGATGTTATCCAGGTTTTTGCATCTTAGATCTGGCAACATTGAAGTGGCTCAAATGAGCATGTGACCCAGCCAATCTCTCAGAATCTTAAAAAGTCATGAATGGTGATAGTATACAACACATTTATTTATTTATTTATTTTATTTATTCAATTTATATGCCGCCCCTCTCCGAAGACCAAGGGCGGCTCACAATACACTCAAAAAATCACTATAAAAACACTTAAAAATTAAAAACATTAAAGACATTAAAACCCATTCACACCATTCATGGCCGGATCTCGTCAGATCGCAAAGCAAGATCAACGGCCCCAGGCCTGCCAAAAAAGCCAGGTTTTCACTGCTTTTCGGAGGGCCAATAGGGTGGGGATGGTCCGGACCTCAGGAGGTAACTGGCTCCAAAGAGCTGGGGCAGCCACAGAGAAGGCCCTCCCCTGCGGGCCCGCCAGCCGGCATTGTTTAGCTGATGGGACCCGGAGGAGACCGACTTTGTGGGATCTTACCAGTCACTGGGAGCTATGCGGTAGAAGGTGGTCTCGAAGATACATGATTTGTGACCTGTAAGGAACAATTCCAAGATACCTGATTACTATCAGTTGCTATATGAGAACATAGACAATATTATTTTGAGCCAAATTCAAACTACTAATTGGACTCATAATTATAAAATCCAACTTTAGTTAGTGATATAAACCATATTTCACCAAGTAAATGTCTATGGAGATTCTCAGTCATCCCGGCCATGATTGTCCCAAAGGTGCTTTTTTCAAGAGGCAACTGGATTTACTGGTATTTCTTTGAAGACGTTTCGCTTTTCATCCAAGGAGCTTCTTCAGCTCTGACTGGATGATGGGGAAACCACCATCTTCCATCTTCCAGTCAGAGCTGGATGAGAAGCGAAATGTCTTCAAAGAAAAACCAGATAGTCCAGTTGCCTATTGAAAAAAGCACCTTTGGGTTTCACCAAGTACTACAGAATCTTTGATTAGTCAAGTTACTTCTCTTGCTATGCAGTAAACTATACAGATACACCATTTTTATCCCTTTTGCAGAAAGTCAAATAAATGATTATGGGCGAAAACTAACCATTAAAAAGATGGCCACTAATTGTAGAACTCTTATCACTGGCTATTAACTTGCTTTTCAGCACTATATTTGCAGTATTGTGTAAATATGGACTGGTACATGAAATATGATGAAAATTCTGACTTATTGTCCCTTTTTTGTCTCCACCACCGATTCTGATATAGACAAACATTCCAATAAAAATGCAGATGTTGAACATTTTTGTTAATGCTTTATTTCTAAAAAGTGGTCTGGTAATGTTTGCCCAATTAAAAAGTACTATAGATCCACATCAGTGGGAAGAATATTAACAATATAACTTGAGGTAGTGTCTTATAATACCTGACCGCCTAGTTTGGCTTTTGAAATGATGCTTTACTAGCTATTAATTCCAAGTCCTTGAATTTGTTATTCAAAAAAATAATTAATGGAGTTATATATCATGCACTCTTCTCTAATGATTTATGTATTTGGGTAATATTCACAGTGAACGTAAGCTCTGAAACCAGTAGATTCTTCACAGTGCATAAACTTAAGTTTGCATAAATGAAAAACAGAATAAAGAAACAGTGCTGATTCAGACACAATTAGATATTGTAGTAAATAGAAAAGTTGAAGCAAAATTGCATATTCTTGGAAATGAAGCACAGCTGTTCTGTGGTTTTTCCACATAAAATAGATAACAAAAGTTATGAAGTCACATTGTTGAATGCTGGCAAGCCTAAATCACTAATATTCAAACATATTTCAACCAGCCGTAATTTATCTACCCTATCATCTATCTATCTATCTGTCTGTCTGTCTGTCTGTCTGTCTGTCTGTCTGTCTATCTATCTGCCGCCCATCTCATTCGGAGGCCAACTAGATCTAGAGAAAAGTAACTGACTAGCAGTTATCTGCTGCCGACACAGAAATCACTTGAAAAGCACCCAAAGGTTATGACACTGTGAATAAGGGAGCATAGACCCCACTGATACAGATAAGATGGCGCTGATGTTTGAAAGTGCACATGGGTGGGGCTCATATCACAACACTCTATCTGCCATCTTGCCGTATTAATCCCCTATAGGTCCCTCCACAATGACTCTATATCTTGACCAATATTATGTCAAAAGTTATTATGTCAAATGTTTTTAATTTTTCAATTTTTTAATTATTTTTTAAAATGTATTGTGGGCCGCCCTGAGTCTTCGGAGAGGGGCGGCATATAAATTTAATTAATTAAATTAAATTAAATTAAATTTTCTTTAAAACTGAGAAAGTTAGATTAACATTTCTTTTTCAAGGAAAGCTGCAAGCCAAAATAGGGACTATGCAATCAGGTGGACTGTGGCAAAATCCAATGTGTGAAACATGGTTTGTGACTTAGTGTGATATGTGGAGGTCTTATTCAGCAAACTATTGTTAAGATAAGCCAGGCATAGCATGTTAATTATATTATTGTTAATAATATAGTTATTATTAACTATAGTTATAGTTATAACTAGTTATAGTTTTTATAATATATCCATATCTTTTTTTCCTTTGATGTAAAGCCATCAATGCCTATTCAGGAGTGGAATTACAGCAGAACTATTCTATACTATAGTTTCTTTCCTGGGACTATTTGTTTGTTTGTTTGTTTGTTTGTTTGTTCGTTCATTCATTCATTCATTCATTCATTCATTCATTCATTCAATTTCTATAGCAACCCAACTCAATCAACTGACTCTGAGTGGCCTACAATAGTTGTATTGCACTGTGAGGATGTTTTCTCCAAGCATTATTTCTACAGTGGGAAGTTTGTCGTAGAACATGGATATCAAACTCGTGGCGTCACGTTGCCATCGTGTGACGTTTTGCGACATTTTTCCCATTCACAGAGCTGGGGTGGGCGTGGCCTGCGTGTGACGCAACTGGCATGTGCGCCGCCTGTTTGACACCCCTGTTGTAGATTAACAGATTTAATTATGGATGGGGGGGGTCTGTTTAATCTTCCTCTGGGACTGGCAAACAATCCTAAATTCTAATAACCTTCCTTATAGTAATATAGCTGCTTATCATTTCCGTCCACCAGACACACATACTTGCCAAAGTAGTTATATATAAAAGAGGAAAAAATCTTGGTATGCCAATGAAATCACATATAACTTCAGTTCTTGTTCTCCAAATCAATTATATAGAATTTGTCTTGTGGAATACATATGTTGAGCCAGAAAAGAAAGAGTTTATCCTCTTAGCACAATCATTTGTTTTAATTCAAAAAAGGCAGTTCAGAGGACTATGTTAACTAATCAAATATACCAGTTCATTTGTAATATTTTTAATTCAAAACTCAAAATTCAAGTGTGCTTTTCCTTTCTTTACAAACTGCCCTGGCTTAAAAATGCAACATTTTCTGCATTGCAGGAATTTTAAAATCCAGTTAAATCTGTGTTGAGAGAGGAATTATCACTTCAGTTACTTGGTAAATCTGATTAATGTCATGTAAGATTATTTATGGAGGGAGGAAATCAAACTTGATGCGAGGCATTGCAAACATTTGGCAAAAACCTGCTTCAGTTTTAACGTAGCGTTTAGTCTGAGGTTCTTATATTGAAACAATCGTTTAGGTCTATTCAACCATTAAAACCAAAAAACACAACTAGAAAAGTCAATTGTGGCATAAGTAATAGTGATGTGAAATTGTTTGCTGTTTGATTGTGGATGTAACTCTGCCCATTTGCAACAGAAGTAAAAACAACTGGTAAGGGATACTTATGCTAGCATAAGTTTTTTTTGTATATGTCTGGGGGACCATATTAGCTACATTAATCCAAGCTTTTGTATTCTCTTTGGATCCAGGCTCCACCTCAGATGATACTTTCAGATACAGATGGCTTTCAAAACAAATGAAACTATGATTCACCTATCCAACTAGCTTTAATCATTCAGAAGGACACTTTGTTCTCAATTTGATCATCTTGGGAAGAAAGCACCAAAAAGCCTTCCCATTTCTCTAGTGCGTGGCTCAGAGAAGATTCCTTTCCTGGACATGCCTATGTAATCTTTTTGTGCCATGGGGATTTCCTACTATTCCTTTCAGGAGCCCAGCAGGGGAGGAAATAATTCAGTTCTCTTTCTAGACCTCCTCTATCAGTGTGGGGCCTCTTGCTGCTGATACTATTTGCATTTTAAAATATCTGTTGTTAACATTTAAACATGTTAAGTGTCATGTTTAATATGCCCTTGAGATTCAGTGTAAAGTTTGGCCCCCAGTGAGTATAGGGGTGCAAACATGTAGTTTCTTTGCCATCAATATAGAAAGTGTTTTTCATTGCTACCTTTTTATGATTTCTTTTAAGTTTCGGGGTTTCCTGAGGCCTATTCTGTCCAAATTCTAGCCAGGTCTGGCCTTGCAAAGTATTTTGAGAAGTTGCTAAGATGCTGCTAAACCTCATTCAAATTAATTACCAAGAGAATCATAATTCAAATAAAGGTATAAGAACAAACAAGGGTTTGTTTTAGGAATCATATCATGACCTTGCCTTGCAGAAGAATCTTCTTTTTCCAATGAATTTGTCTGTTATCATTGGTTATATGTTGATCATATCCAAAGAAGATGACCACCTCCTCCTCCTCTTCCTCCTCCCCCCCTCCTCCTCCTCCTCTATAATTATGGTTGGTAGCACATTCAGCCAGGAGTTTAGACTGCATTTTGAGTTTTTATCAGTGGTGAAATTCAGCTGGTTCTATCCAGCTCGCACAAACAGGTAGTACCAGCTCCGCCCACCCGTCAGGATGTCATTACGTCCTGTTTTGGACCCTCTGCGCATGCACAGAAGAGGCACATGTGCTCGGGTTCCTGAACTGGTAGTGAAGGTAAGTGCATTTCACCACTGGTTTTTATCCACCTATCAAGTCTTTCCAAAGGACCTGAGATAGGCGGATATTGTTTGATGGTATTAAATATATTATTGCATGATGTAAGCTGTTCCAACTAAAGCTGTCTTCTGAAATGGACTGATGATGATTTTGTCAATGCTTGTGGTGATCAAATGGGGCTCCAGAAGTTTTGGGATTGCATCCAAAGTGCCTATTACTGTAGGTACTCTCTTTGCTTTCTTTTGTAATAGTTGTTCTACTTCTATCCGCATATCTTTTAAGGTCTCACCCTAAACTTAAATGTATTTTACTGTGGTCCAAAAACAACTCCAAACAAAAAGCTGTCACCTCAGCTTTCCTTAGAGAAATTACTAGAATACGCCCCTGACATCAGTTTATGGCTATAATTCCAAGGAGACCTACCCCTAACTCTAACCCTAGTTTAATTTTCATTGGCAATTGGGATTTTCCAATGTATTTTGCTGTGATTCACAAACAAGTCTGAAGCAATGGATTTCACAGTCGCTTTCTTTAACAATCTCTAAGAATCTATCCCTGAAATCACTTTTCAGCCCTGACACTAAGGTTACCTAACCCTAAACCTTATCCTCACACTAATTCAAACTATAGTTTAATTTTCATTGGCAATGTGATTTTCCTACCTATTTTACTTTGGTCTACTAAAAAGTCCAAACAAAAAGCTGTCACCTCTACTTTATTAGTGAACTTTGAAGAATCTTTCCCTGACCCCAGTTTTCAGCCCAGGCTATAAGGAGACACAACCCTAGCCCTAACTCTTATCCTTATCCAATTTTCATTGGTAATAGGATTTTCCCATGTATTTTATTGTGGTCCTCAAACAGGTCTGAACAAAAAGTTGTCATCCTTACTTTCCTTACAGGACCTTTTAGAGTATATCCCAAACATCAGTTTTGTGCGCTGACTCCAAGGCAGGGGTGAAATCCAGCAGGTTCTGACAGGTTCTAGAGAACCGTTAGCGGAAATTTTGAGCAGTTCAGAGAACTGGCAAATACCACCTCTGGCTGGCCCCAGAGTGGGGTGGGAATGGAGATATTGCAATAACCTTCCCCCAGGAGTGGGGTGGGAATGGAGATATTCCAGTATCCTTCTACCACGGCCACCAAACCACGGCTACCAAGCCACACCACGTCCAAAAAAAAATGTGATTTCACCACTGCTCCAAGGAGACTTAATCCTAGCCCAAATCTTAATCCTAACCATAATTTAATTTTTATTGCCAGTGAGATTTTCCCATGTATTTTCCCAATTTGTATGTCTGTGTGCCTGTTGATGGCTGTTTTGTCTGAGTCAGAGTAGTAATAGTTGTCTGGACCATAGTTGTGTGAGTTTCAATATAATATATATAAGTATGTACACCAGGGCTGTCAAACTCTCGGCCCGAGGGCTGGATGCGTCACGTGCTGATTTAGCGAAGGGCGGAAAGTTGTGATATATCACATGACGATACTGTGATGATGCTATTTTGACACCCCTGATGTACACTATCAAAATCTAAGTATACTAACAGAATTAATCAGACTACTCCTTTATTTCCTTTATTTCTGATTCTAAGAAATTTATTTTTCCCCTCTTTTCTGTAACTAGTTATCTGCCTAAGCTGTGTACCTGACAGTCAGACCACCGAAGAAGAACAATAAAGTCCTCTGATTTCGATAGTCACAGGTAACATTGTGTGTGCACTAAATGAGTGCATTAAATGAATCACTTTTAATTTGGTCCATGAAATACAGTAAATAAATGTATTAGTCTAGCAAGACTCTTTGTTGTTTTGACTATAAAACTGTTTATGGAAGAATGGGATGAAATAACTGTCAACTCTAAAATCATGAACTTTTCTTAAATTCCATTGTTTCTAGCCACGAGGAACAATGATGAATTCTAACCTTACTATTGATTTAAAAGGTATTAGATGAATTTAGAGAAACCTTTTTATCACACACTCTTGTGATCCTTTTTTGATATAAGGATAATATTGCTAACCTTACAGGATTCTTGAATAGATTATAATACAGTAACATGAAACTCTTCAAATGTTTATTGTGCAGAAGTAATTATTAGCTTAGATATCTGATTATGCTTTTCTAAGTCAAAGCATGTGTCACTACTTTTTGCATGAGTCTTCTGCTCCTCTGTGATGACTTAGTTCACATTTCTGCAAAATTGTCAGATGTAAGTGCCACATTAAATGGAAAAAAAACCTCAGAAAATATACAGACTTTTTCCTGAACAAACAGCTTTAATAATATATAGTACTGCTGGTATCTAAAATTAAATTTTAGTGTCAGCATTTTGTCTACTACTGTTAACTTGCACTTTCAGTGTGTTACATATTTTTGTGGGTTGAAAAAGAATTGAATTTCAACATTAGATAGGAAATGTATAGGGCTCTGTAATAAATGATTTATTTGCTCTAACGTTTTATCTTTTCTCTAGGAACAAAGCACAATAAGCTTCTCCTTATTTTATTTCCACAACAGAGTCCTGTGAGCTAGATTAATCTGAATAGTCTCCCAATAAATTACATGAAGTGAACCTAGATTTTTTTTTCTGTTGCAAGTCCCTACAATTTTCTTGGCAAAGTTTTTCAGAAGCTTATCATTGCCTCCTTCTTGGGGCCGAAATATTTACAGTTAAATCCAACTCCTTAACCAGGATGATTTACAGTAATTTAAAGACAGATATTTCCCAAATGCCTATTAATATCAGTAAAGATTAATATTTATGTATGCAAGCAATTTTGAATTAAGTATAAATTCACAAGAATCAGTGGTTAAAAGCTTCTACTGTACAGACCATGATTTCATATTCTTCCTCAGCTATTTGTTGGAGAAAACTATTAAGTTGATTACTATATGATCTTGGATAACCACCCAGCTGTTTTAGCAATGAATATCACTTGACACCATTAATAAAAGAAAGAATCTGTAGAAAGCTAGACAGCTCACCAATCTACATTCCCTGATATTTATTTATTTGTTTGTTTGTTTGTTTAATCTATATATCTGATTTTTATTTATTAGTTCAGGTTGTATATATAGCACTCCCTCTATGAGAGAAAGAGAGACTGCCCCAAATCATCCACTGAGCTTCCATGGCCAAGGGTAGATAAGAACCAGTAACTTGGCTGCAGCAACTTGGCCATGACGAGTTGTCCCATTCTGCATCTGGACTGTCCTGAACAGCATCACTTGGAATGGTGCTGAGGCTGGACCTGAAGTAGAGGCCTGGGCCTTGGCCTCAACGCTAGCACCGCCACTGTCACTCAAAAAGACTGCCTTGCACTGCTCCCCAAGATATAATTGATCATGTGGCCCAGTGTTTATCTCTAGGCAGTGTTGTCTTTTTGTTGGCAGGCCCATGTGGCCTATCCAAGATTGTCCAGGTCACATGAGGCCTTTGTTCTAGAAGCAGCTTTAGAGAATGTTCTTCTATGGCCTCTGCAGACTCTGAAAACTGCATGAAAACATGCCCTACTCTTGTGCAATGCCCTCTTGTGTAACCTCTGGAGACCACATAAGAGCATACCCCATTCTTGCTTTGCCTCTGCAGCCTCCAAAAATGTGTGAGAATGGGACATGCTTGTAGGGTGTTAGTGAATGCTGGAATGTATCCTAAAACATCATTGCATGTGTCAGGAAAACCTAATTATTGAGCATAGCTGCACTAGCAATTGAACAAACAGCACACCATAAAACATCTCATTTTGGATTCAGACAGAGTGCAGGTAAATAGGTCTTTATTAAAAAACAAAGGTGTACATTAAATTTTTTCTTCTTACACAAGGCACATTTGACACATATGGCATAGGTTATGGAAGAATGTTTATCATTCTTGCAATAGAATCACAACTGAAACTCCCTTTATTTTCTAGCCTTGTTCTGTCAGTCTTTTTTCATATAAAATTATTTGATAGGTACATTCATTAATATACTACTGTATTACCTGTATTTATAATACGATTAAGCATCATATACCAATATGTAGTGCTGTATTAGCAGCAGAAACAATTTGAAAGGTCGCATATGCTTTATCATTTGTGTTTATAGCAAGAGCACATGCTGAAAGCCACAAGAGTTGAAATTGTGGGAGAAGTGGAAGTCATGTGGGTTGTTTCAGGTATCTTTTTTTGAGTCAATAAATACATCTGCATCTGCACAGCTATACATAACAGCATATTTTAAATTTTAAAAGCTTGTGTGATTATATACAGTTGTGCAGATGATCTGGCCTTCACTGAAAAATGCCTTTAAAATATGACTGATGACCTGCTATCATGGTCAATGGAAAGGCAAATGAGGACAAACATTAATTTCCTGGTTAAAGATCTCTGTCCACCCCCACTAAAGGTGAAGATGAAGAAAATGTTGTAGAACAGGTTCTATAGCTTTGAAAATGCTTCCAGAAGTGAGAGTCTTAATACAGATAATCTGATATACACAAATGTCAGTCACCTACAAAACTACTGTTGGAAGAAATGTCCATCTGGGTTCAGTTCCAAGTGGGGAGAAAGACACTGAAAACATGGAGACTGCTTGAAAAGATGTTTTAATGGTGGACAGGACCACATGGTTTGAGGTCCTGGGCGAAAAAACACATGGGTGAAAGAGAGAGAGAGATTTATACCATCTGTTGGGCTTTGAATTTGAGCTTGTATTCTGATTGGTTGTCAGACTCCCATGGGGCCATGCAGGAGTAACTTTGTCGGTTGTCTTTTGAGTTCCAGGCTTGATTAAGCCTTGCTGGGTGATGCAATCTCCCCAGGTGCCATGTGGTGAGTTCTGTTGCTAGATGGGTAGAGGCAGTGGTGGGATTCAGCCAGTTCGCACCACTTTGGGAGAAACAGTTGTTAACTTTCTGAACAGTTTGGTGAACTGGTTGTTGGAAGAAATCATTAGGGCAGAGAATCGGTTGTTAAATTATTTGAATCCCACCACTGGGTAGAGGGATAATTCTATCTTTGTTGGATCTTGGGTGAGGGCATTTGCTTATGAATAGACCTAGCTATCTCTTTATCTCTTAAGTGCTGACATCTGCTGTGGACTATTGAAAGTGTGGGGGCTATTAAGAGTGAGTCTGCTTTCTGCCTAAAAAACATGTTTCTCCATTTCTCATCCAGGGAGGTATAATATTCTGCCTTTTTAACATTTCCTAAAACATTTCATTCTTCTAGGGGAAGGGAGGGGTGCTAACTTCCTACACTACCATCAAAAACAAGCCATAAGAGGGTAATTAGTATATATTGAGGGAGCAATAACATTAGGATAACAAATTGGAGAAGCATAACTTTTCCATGTGTATAAGCAAGAAAATATTGCCAGCCTTTTTTTTTCTGTAACAAAACAACTTTCTCCAAACTGACATCTGCTCAAATCAGAAAAGTAACAGGATTTTCTTCAGTCAAGTTGGAACTGGAGTTGTGACATATCTGGAATAATGGAGTTGGTGAAGAAAATCCAATTTTCTTCATCAGCTCTGAAAAAACATAACAGAAAAAAAAATCCTTCTCCTATTCTACATGTGTGAAATTATGCTATTTGATTTATATTTCCTTCCTCCTAATCTGGCCATGTTCTTTAAAAAGAAAAAAAAAGTTACCTTCAGCCAGCAAAAATATTGCTAAATTAAAATCTTTTTTTGCTATTATTAAATGCATTCAATATTAAATAATTTTTACACAGCAGAAACATTATTATTGCAATTTTTTAAAATTTTACATTCCTCTTCAAGGAGCCTCAAACTGAGGAAACAAAGAGTGATTAAAAATAATATTCAATTAGAACAATTAATCAGTAATAGCTACTTAGAAAAAAGCCATCATAAGGAGAGAAAAAAGATTGCAGTGCAGAAATGATGAGAGAAGAATATACTTCACCCTCTTAGTTTCACTTTTCCCTTAACTCTCCTTCAATCTTATCATCGCTACATAGCCAATGACTTCAAACTATACGCAATGCTAGTGAGTGGCTACTGCTGTAGGCAAAATACTCTGGATTGAGAAAGACTGATTTACAGTAGAGTGACTTTTTTTATTCTTTCACTTGGTTGATTTGAAAAGCCCTTCCAACCGTTCCCTTAGCAGGTTTTATGTTGCACATCATCCCCGTCTAACAGGACACAGGTAACCCTCCAGTTACGACCACAATTGAGCCCAAAATGTATGTTGCTAAGTGGGACATTTGTTAAGTGAATTTTCCCCATTTTACAATCTTACTTGCCACAGTTGTTAAGTGAATCATTGCAGTTTTAAGTTAGTAACATGGTTGTTAAGTGAATCTGACTTCCCTATTACTTTGCTGGTGATCAGATAACCCTGGGACACTGCAACCGTCAGAAATATGAGTCAGCTGCCAAGCATCTGAATTTTGATCATGTGATCATGAGGATGCTGCAACAGTCATAAGTGTGGAAAAACAGTCATAACTTGCTTTTTTCAGTGCCATTTTAAACTTTGAACAGTCACTAAACAAACTGCTGTAATTTGAGGACTAACTGTCCTTTGAAGTGAAGCAGCAGGTATTGGATAACATTACATATGGTTGGGCATAAGGTATAGTTTGTCCTTCAGTATTTTTGCACTGGAAGTAGGTAGGCTAAGAATGTAGATTTTCATGAACAGACTGCTTAGTGTTACTAGTTTAATTTATATTGTTGCATTTTTACTACTGAAATAACAAGGTCTCTCTGGTTCTTTCTGCTTCAAATGCTGGAGGCCTTGTGTATTGTAGTTTTTAACTTAAGGGGTAGATAGGTTGAGCTGGCTAAGCAACAACATATCTTGGACCAGCCCAGAGTGGGAGACAGGAAACCTGGTTGGGTATTAATACTGCCCGGTAATCAAGCTACTGCCAGATAAATTTAAATAAAGAACCCACTGAGATCTCTTGAGAATTATCTTCATTCCCTGTTCATACTGTTTACACCCACTTTCCTGTCATACCCAAAACTGAGAGACAGTAGTTGTGCTAATTAACCAGCAGCCCTCCTACTCATCAGTGACAAGTTTATCCTTGTAGAAGGGAAGAATTCAGCAGTGATAAATGTGTTTTTATTTTGCAAGTCTGGTTTTCCCCAAGAGCAATTAAAAATGTTACAGGCCCAGAAGAATAATTTTATTTAAGTAACATTCCTTCATTAATAAGGTGTGTGCTATTTTAGAGATGATCTTTTTTTTTTATCTTGGTAAAAGAGAAAGAGTCGTATCTGGAAAGAGTAAAACAACTCCAATATACGTGTAATCATATAAATAGCAAGTATTTGTCTATGTAGCTAGGCCAATGAAAGATCTACAGCTGCTCATCCGATTGGCAAATGTTTTGTTTGAAAACACATGACAACTATTCCTGTAGTATTTAATTTAAGAACTGTTGCTATGGGGCTTGGCCTTCAAATCGTTCTAACTCTTGACTGTGTGCTTTTATGACATCAGAGAGGCCAGGCCAATGGCAGAAGAAAAAGGCAGGGTCATCCCTGGCTTCCTAGAATTTCTATAGACAGACTGTGCATGAGAGAGAGGGAGGGAGGGAGAGAGGGAGACGGAGACGGAGACAGAGACAGGGCAAGGAAAAGGCTCCAGGCTGAGATTTTTTTTCTTTTTTAACAGCACAACAAAAGGTACTATTACATGAACTTACATTAAGATGCAGCACTTACCCAGCATTGATTTCCCACTGCATGCTGATTGGCATTTAATATTTATTTACAGATATTCAAGCTAAAAGTAGAGGCATAGCATTAGAACCTCACTGAACATCCAAAATTGACTATTGCCTCACTATATTTCAAAGGACATCCAATGCCTTAAAATGTTTCCCAAACTCAAGCCCTTTATTTGCAGCCTGCCTTCTTCCAAACTCTAGATTATCTTCCCTCCCTCCCTCCCCATACACACACCCATCCATCCTTAAGGATGTTTTAACAAGCCAAAAGAAAAGGTCAGGTGGTGGCAAGAAAGGCAGACCCCTTTCTTCCAAATGTCTGTGCTCCTTCCAGAAAAGTGTCTGGCCATTTCAGAAACATTGTGGGCTATTAATGTAAAATTTCCATAACAAGGAGATACTTGCCAGAGTCATTAAATCCTCTCCAGCATTAACTCTCCCTGAGCCAAACCCAGTCTTAAATCAATAGAATCATAAAGATGGAAAGAGCTCCAGGAAATCATCCAGCCCAAGTTCCATAACAATATTGTTCATTGTATTTAACTTCTGACAAGTTGACAGTCCACATCTAGCCAACAAGGCCAGAAACAAGAGGTATCTCAGAGAATGAGGTGGAGGTCTGCTGTATCAGCAAAATAGGAACTCGGGTAGAGTTATGGATTGGCTGGAGTACCCAGAATAGTTTACCTGATTATTCCATAAGACGAATTCCACATTGGCCAATTAAACTGATGACTTCTAGATTCAAAATAGATGAAAAAAGTACCATTCTCCCCACAATGTACCATTTGCTGCTATGATTTGTAGTGAAGCTTTCTCATTTAGATGGCTCTGAAAAGAAGTGAAAAATATATGGGAAAGGCAAAATTGCTTCCAGATAGACGGCTCTTAGACGTTTTACAGCTACTTCCTTTCCTGGATTGAATCTGGATTTTTATGGAAGGAAAATGTTGGAAGGACTAGAAGCAAAGGAAGATTACAAATGGAAGTCTAAGAAATGCAGTCATTTGAAGCCTGGTGAAATGTTTTGAATCAGTACAGGAATTGCTCCCCCCAATACACACACACACCTCTCATCTATCAGTGATGAATACTACACATGCTAAAAATGATGGGAAGTAATTGGAATGTTAGAGGTGAGAAAGATGTAAGGACTGTTGAATTCAGGTGACTTCTCTGGATATCAGGCTAAACTGCTTGGCAGAACAGAAGGACCATTGCCGGCTTCAGCAGGATTCTTCTGATGGTAGCCTTCCCCAAATTGGAGCTTTCCAGGTAGCTTGATTGATTGGCAGATCGAATCTCACCAGGCTCAGCCTTCCATCCTTCCGAGGTCGGTAAAATGAGGACCCAGATTGTTGGGGGCAATATGCTGACTCTGTAAACTGCTTAGAGAGAGCTGTAAAACACTATGAAGCGATATATAAGTCTAAGTGCTATTATTATTGCTATTGATCCCTTCCTTCTGCAGTCAAGAGAAAAATTGGAGGAGGGACTGCTGTGTATGTCCCTTTTTGTCCTTGGAAGAAAGGCAGGATATAAATCCAACAAATAAAGGAACAAAATCCTGCTTGTGCAGGAGGCTAGAAAATAGTCTTATAACATTAAGTTAATTTATTCTGTCTCTAACTTCAGCTTGTCATACATTTTTCTTGTTTTGAATCTTTGTGCAGCAACATCTCATACTCTGCCCAAATTTGCAAGAGGACCTAGCGGCAATATCATCCTAATAATTTTAATTTTGTTTTCAACTTCACAGTTTTGCCATTTGAAAGCTTGATGAAACAACTGTCTCATTTTTCTACTTAGGATGAACAGACTTTTTAAAAAATCTCATAATCAGACTTTAGAATATTACTTTGAACCTACTGTAGTAAGAATTTGCATTTGAGTCCTTAAAAATGTGTATCTGACATGATAAAACAAAACAACCTCAGCTATGGATATTTGTCATTTGGTTATCTCAGCTGTCTAACTTTGTGGTCTGACATTAAGACAGCTTCCTATTGCTCTGGGATGTTGTTCAGAAAAATAGGGGCTTTCAACATTAGTAAGCTTGTTTGCAAAATATTATTCCAATTTCTCATCAGGATCCAAAAACTGCAAAATAGTAGTAAAGGTGTTAAGGTACTAAAGTTGTTTAAATTTATTTAGAGGGGAGAACAGATATCCTTTGTATATTTTCTTATTTTTTATTTTTTTCTATCTGTTTGCACTTCTTTTTCTATATTTTTCTTGTAAAGACTTATATTAGTCTTTCAACTTTGTAAACTCTAATAAAATTATTACAAAAAGACCAAAAGCTGCATGAAATCCTTCCCCAAAATCAAGGCCCAACCACATTTTGGTTTTGTGCATATTTCTCATGATTAACACTAACACAGATGCACTATGTAATATGTTTCTACTATCTGGGGAAACTTTACTGTAGAAAATCAGGCAACAAAGTTTTAATTGTCACTACTCCAAAGTGTTGTAACTCTTATTTGACTTTTCCTTCTGCCTATCAAAACTTGGATTAAAAGCATAGGAAGGAAGTTCTATCTCCAACTTTTAGGAATGTAGTAGCCTGGTTCCAGCAACATTTTACAATAACATTTCTTGAGGAGGAACTAGAATTAATTTATAGTAGCTATCTTTAATATTTTGCTTTAGAACAGTGAATATAGCAACTAACCATCAAATATGCTCAGACTTTTGCAAGCTGTACCGAGTAGAAGAGTTGTAGAAGAAACTCTATCTTGTAAGTGGTTTTGCAGGCTAGAGAGGACCTTTAGATACAATATATGTCTGAGCCACCAAGGCGACAAGTGAATTACAAGTATCCATTAACTCTGAAAGGCGAGAGGAAAAGCCTGAAGTCCAGAGACCTGGGTCTTTGCACAATTTGCATAATACATTAGGTTAAAATGTGATTGACCAGTTTGTGACTCAAAAGAACATTGCAAATCCAAGAACTCAGATTTAATCCATACCATCTCCAAGTAAGGCATGGAGAAAAATTCTCTGTCTGAAATCCAGGAGAATTGCTGTCATTCAGCGTGCAAACGAGAATTTACAGTACCTGGTCAATGTTCAGCCTAAGATAACTTTATATGTGTAGTTACAGATCCTCTCGTCAAGTAAATTAGAGTATTTTGCATTACTTACTGAATATTGTCATTAAAACATGTTTATATCCTGTTGTGGTTGTTTTCCTGGCACTCCCAGCAACCTTCAAGTTTTACTCCCCCCTTCTTAGTTTCAGAAGCCTCCCAGACTATTCACAATTCCACTTCTGTTCTTGTAGTGTGAGAAAAGGTGAATACCTTCCCATATTTCTTAAACCTGTAGACCACTCTCAGATCTTGCCATATCTTCCCCATATAGGGCCAAATCTAGATTGCAAAGAAACATTTTCTTTTTGGGGGGGGGGGAATGTAAATAAGATAACAGTCGAAAGCTTTATTTTTTTTCTTCCAGCTTGTTCTGGTTTTTGTGTGGGTGGCTCATGTGAGCCAAAATGTTATGGGGTAAATGTTTTGTGAGCACAGAACAGAGTGTCCTTTACAAATTAAAATTTAAATATTTGCATTTTAACTGTACTGTCAAGGGTAAAGGAGAAGAACTATCTAACCTGCTTACAAAAAGCCATGTTGTCCGTGAGGAAATGGGAATACAGTAACAGTTTATAGAAATATAAATTTTATAAAGTGGAAATACAATTGGCATTTGAAAATAGTTTTTCAGATGTAGGAGGGATGAAGTCAACCATTTGCAGTATGAATGTTTATACAGTCCCTGTGTTTTATCTTCTGTTGCTTAGAAACATATTTCACTGACTGTATGACAAAAAGGTGAAACAAAGGTGGATTTTACTCTGACAGAACCAGCATAGTGTCATGGTTAGCATGCTGGAATATTTAGTTACGTGCTATGTTTTTAAATCTCCATTCATCCAAGGCTCCAGAGTACTGTAAAAACAGCATACAGTAAAACCTACACAGAACAAAAATTCCAAAAAAGCCGAGCACATAATATTGCAAATTGAGAAATGGCAGATGATTATAAAATGCTACAAGACAATGGAAGCAATACACTAGGGTTGTTGTTTTTAACATTTGCCCCACACAATTGGAAATTCTGCTTGCTCTGCCCTGTGCTTGCCTAGTTCTTACAGTAAGGCTTATCGATGTGCCACGTGACAGGGGCTTTTGTTTTTCTTCTGGCTTGTCGCATATTCTGATGCTAATTAGAACTGAGAAGCATGACAACCCAAGGTCACCCAACTGGCTTCTGTGCCTAAGGAGGACTAGAACCTGGGTCTCCTCAATCCCCGTCTAGCATCCTAACCACTACACGACATTGACTTTCTTGACTGAAGCAACATCAACCTTCAAAATAACCGAGTAGAAAACTGCATCACAATTGGGTGCCAAAAGAATTATATTTTCTGCATAAGTCATATATCTGGAGGATATTCCTGCAAGAGTACGCGATTGAAGAAAAGACCTTGACTATGAAAAGTTGAGCTGAGTTTCATTTCTTGTGACATGTTTTTTTTTTTAATTTGATTTCCTGACAAAAAGCCTCTATCCAGACTGCTTTTATAACTTTCTGGCTTAGTCTGGAGTCCTGCGATTTTATGATGCTCTCTCATTCAAGTACATGTAGTCCTCGACTTACAACCCTTCATTTAGCAACCATTCAAAGTTACAATAGCACTGAAAAAAGTGACTTACAACTCATCTTCGCATTTAACAACTGTTGCAGCATCCCCACAGTCACATGATCAAAATTTGGGCCCTTGGCTACCAGCATGTATTTAACATCTAATGATTGTTAGAACCATCTGTATTTCCTTGAACTGTTTGCAGGAAGAACAAGGGATAAAGACAAATGGCTAGGGATGCTGGGATTAGACCAGTATTTCTCAACCTCAGCAACTTTCAGCAACTTGTCTGGACTTTAACTCCC